GAAGAGGAGGAAGAGGAGGAAGAGGAGGAAGAGGAGGAAGAGGAGGAGGAGGAGAAGGAGGAGGAGGAGGAGTGTTTGTTAAGTCCTCTGTGTAGAGGGCAACCTGCATTTTTATTGTAAGTCTGGTGGACAGGGTGGTTCAGACAGATAATTTAAAGGTTGTATGAGAACTCTCTAGCATGAGGTGGTGAAGACTTACCTAAGGATGGCATGAAAGAAGAGGAGAGAGCCGGGATGATAACAAAGGAGAAAGATGTGGAGAGGCAATGAGAATTCTAATGGGCTTACTGGGAAATAATTCCACAATCCAGGATGCTGCTGGTCAAGGGGAGGTGGTTTCCAGGAAGAGGAGGGAAATGGGACTTTTATCAGACAGGTATTTAATGAAGGCAATCAGAAATATAAGACTGGAGAGATGGTTCAGCAGTTAAGAACAGTGACTGCTCTTCCTGAGGTCCTGAGTTCAATTCCCAGCAACCACATGGTGGCTCGGGACCATCTGTAATGGGATTCGATGTTCTCTTGTGGTGTGTCTGAAGACAGCCACAGTGTATTCATATACATTAAATAAATAAATACTTCTTTAAAAAAGAAAGACATACAAGACTCTGAGGAGGTCCAACAGGCACAAATGGGGAAGTAAATCCTAAATGGAAGGGGAACCATGACTGTGCACATAACAATTCCAAGTATCTGAAGAGCAAAGGGGTTAGAAATTGACTTGTTTTTAACGGGTCAGAGGGGAAAAGAAATCAGGAATAACCTGGTCATATTACAAGAGAGAGTCACCGAGAGGGACGGAGAGGTAAAAGGATTTTGTTTGGTTTGAGATAGGACATTATACAGTCCAGTCAGGCCATGAACTCACCAGATAACAGAGAAAACTAACCTTGAACTGATGCTCCTTCACCCCCACCTCTCAGATCCTGGGACTATATAGCCTGGTTTATACAGCACTGGGATACAGCTCAGGGCTTCCCACACCCTAGCCAAGTACCCTACCCAATTTTACTTTTGTTTTGCTGGCTCTACAGCCTAACTTGGTACTGTATTATCAACCAGCAGAAACAAATCCTTCCTATAAACAAATTCATTATACAAAAATATCACACACTGACAAACTCAGAGGAACACCCTGATGGGAAGGACACTCAAACCTCCCCTCGTCTGTGAGGGAGATGGCCGGCATTTCACACAGGGGATGTGATCTCAAGCTTCAGCCTTGTTCCTTCTAACCTACTAGGAAGGCACGAAAAGACTCTTGGTGGCCGGAGGAAGAAAAGCAGGGCAGGAAGCAATTTCAGCTGGTTAACTGAGTCAGCATCCAGATGAACCTTGGCATTCTTGATATGTCCGTGCCTTTTCAATAACGCCATCCCAGAAACCTGAGAGCCGGGATAGGATCCTCACATCTGCCTCTTTTCTACACAGAAAATATTTCACTGGAATGCTACCTGTCGGCCATCAGCTGAGCCCCCATCTCTAAACTCAGTGTTCCTCATTTCCGCAGTGTGGATGATACCACCCCAGACACCTCACAAATAGAAATAAGGTCACGGGTCGTGGCAATGCTCAGTCTGTCCCCTTCCTATTAGAATCACCAGTGGGGGTTTGAGGGAGTAGGGGACAATTATTTTAGAATAAAGTGGCTTGGTAGTGCACTTTAAAACTTCTCTGCAAGTGCTATGCAGGTCAGATGAGTACCTCCTCTGGGGTACAGAGAACACGAGAACAGCAGGCGCCTAGGGGAGTGAAATAGGCTGGGAAGAAAATGGTGAGTTTGGGGTCAATATATCTGGGCTGGGAGGGGCAGTGGCTTCTAGAAAAATATAGCTCCACCCCCACTCCAACCTTTTCAAGAAGAGCTAGAAACTTAAATAGCAAATAAATAGACTTTGTACTCTAAGATTTTATCCTGTGTGTGCCCCACAGGTGCATGTGTATTCATGAGTGTATGGTGTCGCCAGAGGTCAATTTTGGGTGTCACTCCTCAAAAGCTGGAGTCATCCAACTTGCTTTTTGAGACATGCTCTCTCCCTGTGGTCTGAAGTTCACCGGCTCCACTTGGCTGGCAGGACAGGGAGACGCCTGGCCAGTGCCGGATCACACGTGCATGCACGCCATCCAGCCTCCTTTTTTACATGGCTGCTGAGGACCAAATACAGGTCCTCCTGGCTACACAGCAAGCATTTACCAACTGGGCTCTTTCCCTAGCCCCTATAATTGCAGTTTTAAAAGGCTAATTTACATTTGTTTAGAGCAGAACTCTGTGTAGGCTGAAGAAAACTGGTCTCTAGCACATGGGTCCCAGTCTGTGGCCTGTGCTTTGAAGACAAAGTAGATATGAGGTTAACTAGGGTGGGGCCCCTGGCTTTGCGAAATTACTTAACCTCGTGTCTTCATCTGTAAAATGGGAATAGCCAAGCCTATTTCTAAGAGTTACTACAAGAGATGATGAATGAAAATGAGTGGAACCAAAAAGCCCTTGGCACATGACAGAGCGAGGGCTAGATTAAAACGTCAGCCTCTCTTGGCTCACCATGCTTTCTCAGCTTTGTCACAAAGACCCTCCACAGAGTCAGGCTCCACTTCTGGGCTCCTGTGTGGCCTTTCCCTCCCAGGCTGTTAACCCAAGCTTAACCCGGTCCCAGGGAGTAGTCAAAGGGAGAAGAGGAACCAGCCCTTCAAAGAGCTCTGCTCTCTACTGTGGCCACCATGCTTATGGAGCCCGAATGACGCGGTCAACCATAATGCTGTGTAGTAGTTTCTCGCTGCTGATAGGAAAAGGTAGGGAAGAGAATCTCCGAAGTCACAAAAGCCAAATGCTCAACTATCCAACAATTTGTATGCTTTTAAACAACAAGAGTTCGGTTCATGCAGAGACAGCGCCTTAAGATGACTAGCCAGTCATTTGAAGGGTGTGAAGTGCTCCAGGTACTGGCAAAGAATTTATCCCAAGCGCTTAGACCAGTAACAGGGTAAGAGTAGAAACTTCCTGGTAGTTGCCCAACATCTGGGATGCTACAACCTCTGCCTAGCCAGCGCCGGCCAGAACAGACAGTCCTGTGAGCTGAGTTCAAAATTCTTATCTCCAAAACCCATGCTCTTCTCGGTGGGCTAAACTGGAGAGGCTGGTTCCCTGCTCTGCCTGATCTGGGAAACAGCGCCGCGCTCCGGCTCACCTGCAAGTCGTTCACTGCTTGCTGCAGTGGACTCAGGTACATGTAGGGCTCGCCTGTGCCTTTTCCCGGAGGACCGTCACTAATTGAGATGATGTCCGCGAAGGGCCTGCCCCGCACCTCCTTTATCGTGGAGATAGTGGCCAGCGAGCCCCAGTCGGAGACGTGAGTCACGAAGCGGGCCATGCGCGGCGCGTCCTCGCGGGGTGGCAGCGGAGGCAGTCGCCTGTCCACGTCCCAGTCCCCGTGGTCCCGGCCTCCGCGACCCCAGGCCGGCGACACCAGTAGTGCCACAAGCGCGGGCACCAGAAGGGCAGCAAGCAGGGAGCGAGCAAGCGCAGAAGCACTGGCAGCCATGGCGCTGACGGCGGAGTCCCTGCCCTGCGACCAAACTCTGCCGGGGTGACTATTGCCCGCCAGCGTTCCGCCCCTCCGAGAAAGCCAATCAGGGATGAGCAGGCCGGAGGGGGCGTGGCCCCAGCGCGTCCTGTGATCAGCTCTGTAAAGAGTGCAAATGTGCCCTACAGAGATACTTGTTTTGTTTTTTGTTTGATTTACAGACAGATAAGTGAGATCTAGAAGAAATGAAGCAACTTCCTAAGTCACAGTGCTAGGAAAAGGCTGCCTTCACGCACGCACACACCACCTTTTTAATGTCTTTGGGTCAGCGTGCTGGGCATCTAAGAGAAAGTGAGTTTTTTATATGCTCTTTTCTGTTTACTCACTGTTAGCAAGCAAGCCTATATGTTGTAAAGGGCAGAAATACCGACATGCAAGAACTTAAAAATTACTGGCCCAGAAGTGTCTTCAGATAAAGCCACTGAGAGTGTGTTAGTTTTCAGTATCCCACTCAAGACTTTGATCTTGCCCGTTTGAGACCTGTTAGTCATCTAGTTTGATTAAATTCGTAGTTTCATGCATTTATTATTCTGGCAGATCCTCCAAGCCCGTCTGATCTTTATTCTGCTACCCTGGGGAGTTAGAAAACGTGTGTAAACGACCTGACCCACATTTTTCATCATTTTAAACTGTGACCCCTGTTAGAACATAGACAGTTTTAAGTCCCATCCTATAGTCTGAATCAGGCCACGCCTCTCTGCAGCTCTCTCTCGCGCTCTCTCTCTCTCTCTCTCTCTCTCTCTCTCTCTCTCTCTCTCTCTCTCT